AGAGGGTACGACCGTCACAGGGGAGGGGGAGTTTCTTGACCCCAGTCAGTTCCCCTCGTCCATTCCCCGCGTGGAAGAAAAGCATACCGCAACGTTAAACTTAGTGAGTCCGTCGTTTACTCGCTGTTGACCACGGCATGGCGAGGCGTGGCAGGGCGTAGTGGGGGCAGTATCGGCCCTTCACAAAGGCACGCGGGGGATGACGACGAGCCGATACGGCGCGGCGGCGGGGGCGGCCCTACGGCGACTCATTCACAACGACTGGCACCCTCCCCCCCCCCTTTTCCCCAAGCCGTTTAATCCAATTTAGAGCTCCGTGCTCCGCTGGCGGCGTTGGCGGCCGGAGGATCCTGACCAGAGGGGGAAAAGGAAGGAAGGCGAAACAGTTGGCCAGAGCTAGCAGGCTCCGCCAGGCTCGCGCCCGCCCCGCGGCCCCGGCCCCGCGGCCCCTGACCAGCGTACATCCCATCTGTCCAGACGGCTTACTCGCCCCGCCCGTCAGCCACGTCATGCACGTCTCTTGGCCCCTTTCTCCCCCTCCCCCCCCCCTTCCTCTTCCTCCTCCTCCTCCTCCTCCTCCTCCACCCCTGCCGCCCATGCGTCCGCGTGCCTGACTGCTTGTGTTGAGGGTCGCGATCAGGCGCTGCTGTCGATTTGGTGGAAATACTGTTATACGGTCCGTGCGTGGGTGGGGGATGGGTGCTGGTGCGGCCGGGGCGGGATGCGGTGGGGTAGCGCCCCCGCGCCCAGCGGTGACCCCGGGGTGGACGTGGAGAGCTCTCCCGAGGCAGGCCCGGCGGGCCGCGGCGGAACACACATCACGTCCGCCACACAAATACCTAGACGGCCACTTTCGAGCTATCCTTCGCGGAGCCACTGGGCGGACCCAGCCCAAAGGCCAGCAGCAAGGCCCAACTGCAAAGCCAATTTTATTTAAATCAAGTGGCATTGCGGATCTATACACGTTGCACTAATGAAATTTATTGTAAGTGCATTTGCCTATCATGCCGGTGCCATTCCCTACCATGTCAGTCCAAGGAGCAAGGCCTAGGTTCAGCAGCAGGCCGCAGGAGGGTCAGCCAGCAGCAGCAGCAGGAGGGTCAGCGTCCGGCCTACAGGCCGTTCAAGGACGGACACTGACCCTGACGCCTTGGCCTTACGACTAACTGTCCATGAGAGGGGGAGATGGAGAGTGAGGGAGAAAAGGATCAATTTGGAGAGGAGGGGCTGGGGTAGGAGGGTTTGCGGACTCGGCCGCAGCAGCAGCAGAAGGCTTTTGTGGTCGAAAACGCCATTTGACAGCGGCCTTCTCTCTGCTGCATGGTCCAGCCCTTACAGCTTTACAGTCCGGCCGTAGTGCCCCATCACTGGGCGCGGAAGGGACGGGCGGCTGCGCGGCTTGGAGGCGTGGCAGAGGAACGGCTCGGCGCGGGACGCCGCGACGCATTCGAGGGGGATGTTACTCACGACTACAAACCGTCAATTCGAAAGTAATATTTGGGTACACGTGCCGGACAGATCAGCCCAAGAGCTCGCGTACGACCTTAACCCCGGGGGCCAGCCGCGGCCGAGCAGACGAGGCTCACGGGGGAGGACGCCATGCTGTAGTTGAGCTGTGTCACGTTATTTATGAACGGGCCGAGCTGCGCTGCGCATGTAGTATCCGATGAGATATTGCTACCGAAAGCACCGAAATAATAGGGGTAAGAGGTAGGGGGGGGGGGTGAGGAGCTAGCGGGCCAACCGCGCAACAGGGCACGCGCCAAGTGGGCGGGGCGGCAGGGCCGGCGGGGCTCAGGATGGATCAACATAGCTCGGAGGGGAATGTGTGTCGCGCTGCCCTTACGCACCGTGCCAGCCGCGCGGCCCTCCTGCCAATCACAACCCCCAGTGACGTCACGGGCGACAGGACAGGTCTCCCTGGCCCTCGGGCAGGTCCGGCGCGGCGGACCCGGGCGGAGCCCACCCCAGCCTACTTGCAGACTCACACGTGTTGCCAACGCCAAGTCATTCGAAATCAGAACATTGCATGCGATTTGCCCCCCCCCTTCCCCCGCAAAAAAATGAGAAGTGACTTTACTCTGTCTCTTATTTACATTTCAAAGTTTTAATTTTGGCGTGAACGCTGAATCAATCCTGTAGTGACTTCTTTTAGACAGTCCGTATCTACGTTAATAAAACTAACACATGGTAGAAACAGATGGCCGAGTTTTTGAGCAAAAAAAAAAAATACTTTAAAGAACTTCTTTACCTCAAGGAAAAGTCCTCAAAAATGTGTAAATTTCCCTCACTGCAGCGCCTCAGCGAGCACCTCGGTCGGCCTGCCTGCCTCTCCCCCTTTTAGTCCGGTTTGGGTCGGGTAGCAACACTACACCTCTCAGAGTCATCACGGGCATCAGGCAGGGAGGCAGGGAGCGCTGCTCGGGGCTGCGAAGAGCTCGGGTACCACCACGGGATGGGTACCACAGAGGGTGCCGCAGTCATTACCCCGCCGCTCCTTTGGCAGCATAGTGATGAGCACGTACATTTCATGCGTAATTCAGAGTACATCGCACGTGTGGCAGCAGCTGACGCCTCCCGCCCCACTCCCCGCCCTGTTGTCGCAGTTGTTCACGCACTTCATTCTTTTTCTACACACACGCACACACACACGCGCGAGCGCGCGCACACACGCACACCGGGTGGCGCGCCAATGGCGTCTATATTGGTTTATTTTCGGCGCCGGCCGGTGGCGTAGCGTTTTCCTCAGACATTAGTCTTTGTGGCGTGGCGGGGCGCGGCGGCGCGTGGCGGCCTGGGCGCGGCAGGGGCGGCGTAGGGCGGGGCGGGGCGGGCGACCCGCGTGGGCAGCCACTGCATACTAGCCTCATAAAAATAGAAGGAGTTGATGTCCGGCGCGGCGCTGTGGTTGAGCCAGGCGTCGGTCAGGTTCCAGCCCGCGGCCGCCGCCAGCGCGCCCTGGCTCTCGTTGTCCATGGCGGTGGCCTCGCGGAGGGGCCCGGGGCGGCGCGGCCCGGGGAGGGGCAGCCTCCGGCGGTCATCTCATGCCCCGGCCTGCAACACACAACACAACGACGGATGAGCAGCTTGCACCCCGTCTCGGCACGCCCTGAGGTGAGCCGCCGGGTCGGGTGTCGGCAGAAGGGCGGCAGCGGGCGCCTCTGGACCACACCGGTGGCGAGCAGCGGGACTGTTACGGACACAAAAATAACTCACATGTCTTCAGCGCTTTTACATCATAGGCGGTCCAAAGTCACTTCTGGGCGGAGCAGGACAACTGGGATGTGTGCCCCCCCCCCCCCGGCTGTCTTGACTGATCTGATTAAACCATTAAGGAGAGGCAGCACACCTGCGCCGTCGGCAGCCCTCACCTCACGGCCAGGTGGGCCGGGTCCCAAAACATTCTCTTCAAATCTTTATTGCCTCCATTATTTTCCGCGCACGGCCGGTTTGAAAAACGCGATCAAATGAGTACACACAAAGTTGGGGGGGGGGGGGCTGGGGCGTTCCGTTTGTTTTTCATTCGCAGTTCGGTGCGCAATGCAGTGCCCCTCTCCTCCCCCGGGGGCCGCCGTGGCGCGGGGAGCATTCCGCGGCCCTGATTGAGAACAAGCGCGGCACGCTCGCGGCACGCGGCCCGTCCACTTGTGCAACTGGCGACGCGCGCAGCCGCGCACGGCTGTCCTTATCATAATACCCACCGGGCCCCGCATTTTAAAAGCCGTGACTGCCCCGCTGCTGCCCTCACGCCGGCCTCCCACACACTGTAAACTCAAATACTACTGTGACGTGTCACATTCAATATGGTGTGAATTATGTGTCACATCTCTGAAGATATCATGTGCCTCATTAGTTATAACGTGACATAGACCGAGCCCGCGAGGTAAGAGCGGTGCAAGTGAGACGTTTTAACGAATGTGACATGGTACTCCGCGGAATATCGCACAATTCACATTATATTGAATGTGACGTCACAGTATTTGAATAACAGTGTGCACTTGCCCTTCCTCTTCTCGAGAAAACAAATTTCATTTCGTTTTGAGAGGCGTGCCCCTCACCCCTGCCCAGCTGATCTCGTAACATAACGCTAGGGCTGGGCTGCCTCCCCCCTTCCCCTTTTCACCCTCACGTCGAGGTGCGTCGTGTGGGCCAGCATGATGGCCCCCAGCAGCGACCACTATGTAGGAGTGCGAGCGATGAGCACTAGAGCGTCTGTTTGTCATTTCACTACGTAGCTTTGTGTTCGTACACTCAAGCAGCGCTTTACTCGAGATATGCCTCTGTTTGTTGGAATTGAACAGCTTTCTCGTTGGTCATAAACACTCCACATTCATGCACATTCCAGTTCTAAACTTTGCCGAATGCGTGGAATGTTATTTCATTTCTAACATAAACTATGGTTAAAATAGTGTTTGAATGGCACCCAAGAGATGACCTGGTAATCAGAGCGACATGCTCCGCATTCTCCTGGCTTCGCCTTCGAGTAGTCTAGAAACGCCTACGAGAACGACCAAAGGCAGACCCGCTGGCCACCCGTGCGTCGCGGGCTTGCCTACCAGAGCGCCTGGCGTTGCCTGGCAGGCAGTCCCGCTGGCCACCAGTGCGTCGCGGGCTGGCCTACCCGAGCGCCTGGTAGTGCCTGGCAGGCAGTCCCGCTGGCCACCCGTGCGTCGCGGGCTGGCCTACCCGAGCGCCTGGCGGTGCCTGGCAGGCAGTCCCGCTGGCCACCCGAGCGTCGCGGGTTGGCCTACCCTAGCGCCTGGCGGTGCCTGGCAGGCAGTCCCGCTGGCCACCAGTGCGTCGCGGGCTGGCCTACCCTAGCGCCTGGCGGTGCCTGTCAGGCAGTCCCGCTGGCCACCCGTGCGTCTCGGGCTGGCCTACCCGAGCGCCTGGCGGTGCCTGGCAAGCAGCCCCGCGGACCACCCGCGCGACGTTGCAGGCAGAGAGGTTGCTCGAAGAGCCACGTCGACATGGCGGTGTCCCTCATCCCTCCTTCCGGCCCTGTCGCCTGTCCCGGCGTGACCCAGCTCCCAACTCCCTCGTGGACCAACAAGGACATGGGCCGGGCGTGTGCAGCTGTCGCGGCGCCGTTGCTCGCGCAAGTCAGATCCCCCTCCCTCCCCAGCCTCCCCTCCTGCACGGGCCACAATTACACGGGGCGCCCGGTATTTATTCTGTCTGCGGAGCGGCCGCCGGCCGGGACCTCCCTTTATGAAGCACCAACGAGCTGAGGCGGCCGTCGCGCTACACTCTCGCGTTCCTCCGAGAATATTTATTTACCTTGACAAGTCAGTCATACACAGAGTGTGTGTGTGTCACTAAACTAAGCCATTGCCTCGAGTCCATCAGTCACTGCTGAGGGACGTGAAAAGTGATGCTCCTCCTCGCACCACCGTCCACCCAGGAGGCGCGCGCCGGGGTGAGTCAATGGTTGGCGCTCTGCCCCCTCGCGCCTGCACGGTAAGTAATTGTGGGAATGTGGATGTTTGGTTTGCAGAAGACCCGCGGCCAATTGTCGGCCGGACCGCGGTTTGTTATTCCACGGAGCGGCTCAATCAGGCGCCGGCGCCGACAGACTTCCGCTTCCTGTGGTGAGGGCGCCAGGCCCGGCGGCCAGCCGCCAATCAGACAGCTTTCTTAACATATTTCACGCAGCTTTCTAAACATTTCGCACTTATGCCTCAGATTTTCACAAAGTTTTCCGAGGTTCCCTTCAGCTTAAACGTTCCACATGGAGCAACGTGTATATAACGTGGACACGTTCTTTAATTCTGACAGATCATGTGTTTTTTTTCTTTCAGAAAAAACAACAACAACAATATGCGAGTGTACACTTGAGCTTGTGCTGAACCAACACGCAACATTCAGCCTCTTCATTCATGGACAAAGCACGCCACGTGCTAGGATGGGGGAGGCGGGAGTGGAGTGGACGGATATTGTGTGCGGGTGGGAGCGCAGGCGACCGAGAGGGAGCCGCGGCCTTGGGGTGCGTTTTATGTACTCGTCGGGGCTCGTAGTGGGGGTGAGGGCTACGGCCGCAGGGGTGG